AATTTGCTGCTGGGCTGCGTTAATCAGTCGCGTGATCTGGGAGCGAAGCGCTTTCCTTTTCTTCGTTATCACTTCTTTGCTCATATTGAGGCGGTTAACAATGACTCCTTACTTGTCAATCGTTCGTTCTGATGCTCGTACTGTCCACCGTGGTCTCGTCGCTCGATCCAGGTCGATCCTCTGCTCCTCCGCCGTTTTCTTCTCTGCTGCTCCGTGGCAGGTTGACCTTTCTTGCCGGCGAGGAGGTAGTATCCTGGTTCACGGCACCATTATTAAGACGATCGAGACCAGGGACTGCTTCGAACGAATACGGTTTATTAGAGGAAGCGAAGTAGCGCGCGCTCGCTCCAGGCAGCAGACTTTTTTCTTCTTTTTTCGGCGTTTGATGATGATATTTTATACGAACCATGCGCTGAGGCTTGCATTGGCTGCCTTGAGAAAGACAAGACTGCTTGTCGGCACATTGGCTCCAGCGACACGGCAACCAGATTTCATGCCTGTATGCAGTATGCGAGGATTTATTGCATAGCTGCCAGCTCGTCAAAATAGGTTTACATGCCTTGAAATACCCAACAAAGTTGATGGCTGGACAACCACTACCGTAGCTCGATTGGTACAACATTGAATGAATTGCATGGAGGTTGTAGGTTCAGCCCCTTGTGGCAGCAAGCTGTCTTTTCATTCTTTACATTCATATAATAATTGCTGCACTGCATTAAAAACAATAAGTAAAGCTTCCATTACCTTTTTAGGTTTCATTGTCTGTTGGTTTCATAAGGTTTTTGTAGTACAGTATCAATTGACTTGATAAACTAAACATGCTCTAGATACCGAACATAAATTAATTGTAAGTATTTATTCAAGTCCACATTTCTAAAATAAACTGAATGTCATCAGCTTGTTTTCAGCTGTGTTTGCCCTGTTTTCAAAAAGCAAGGTTGATTGAAACTGTGAAGGCATGGTCTCACCTTATTTTACCTTGTCACGATCTGAAGCAGCTTGGATCTACTCATATGCTGTAATAGATTAAATTATTTATTGCTGTTTCGCTAAGTCAGCCACCCCTACAAACCTGTGAAAGGTGCTTGAAAAGATGCTATGCTCTGTGCATGTGATAATTTTAAGTTTATTGGAAGCAGTCTAACCAGTGAAGGTACCTCATCCTGCTAGTATGCAGTAGGCCTTTATTCAGGGCCCACTTAGTTGACACTGGGTGTTTCAGGAACTGCATTCCAAATTCTCAAAAATTAGTGAAATGTGATTGTTTGATGCCTTCAATGTTACTTCATCTGTAGTCTCAGGCATTTTATCATGGCTAACGAAATCATTTGAGATACTACTTAAGAAGTTGAAATTAGTCAACTCTTAATAAGTGGTGTCAAGCAGTTATGTGAAGTGGGATAATTGAAACCCTTCATGGGGAAATCCACTGACGCTTTCAGATTCTGCAGCTTTGGAAAAATGGCTTTAGTACTAATTGTGAAGTAATGGAATTCAGCCAAATTCATTGGCGAAGCCGAAACACGAAAGAACGTGACTGCCATATTTTTCTTAAACGTGGAGAATGAGTAGGCGATGTTGTAATCATATACTTTCTATAACTCCTTATTTTGCCAGAATTAATCTATTTAAATTCTCATTCTTTCTCCGAACAATTATGGATTGAAATCATCTGCCTCCTGTCAACTGTCATTTGCACAGTTGAGTGCCTTTTCTTAGGTTACATTGTAAGCAGTCTCTTTTTGCAGTGTAATTAAAATTGGTTCTATTTCATTCACTTCATAATTTCTTTGACTGTTACTGTTTTCTCACCCATTTGTGTTTACTGTCTTTTTGCCACCTATATTTCTTTAATTTCTTCCAGATTCTGTTAGTATTATTGCTTCTTATCCACCTTTTTTTGTGCAATGTTTCGATGCTTTTGTATTCCCACTCCTGCATGGGCCTTGTGGCCTGCAGTATTTCTGTAAATAAAAAGTAAAGTAGAAATATGAGTCATCAACTGACCTTGTTCTGAGGGTGTGCAAGCTGCACTTCTAATTGCAGGCATACATGGCACACATATGTTAACTAACCTGAAATAACTATACCTCTGTAATTGGTTGTCTTGAACAACACTTCTGTTGTCTTGAACCAAGGCATCGTTCTGGTCATCTGGTGCTCATTGGTGCTTCAGTTTCGCCGTTGACTTTGTTTCATTTCACTGTGCCACAATGTTTACCAGATACTGCTTTCTCCATAGTATCTCAAAGCTTTGATGAGTTTGCTTGCATAAAGAGCTTCAATTCTTCGAAGTGTGGCGGTTTGGGCTAGTTGGTATGACATGACGATAGTTATAGTGTGAGAACAGAATGACAACAAAGGGACACTTTCAATTTTGTCACTTTGAAATCTTCCTTGAAGTAAGAGCTTAGCTTCACTAATTAAAAATGAAATAATTCATTTCAAATTCAAAGGTCAAATAATTCAAAGGTCAACTTGCATTGAGTTGATTTAAAAATAGTAAATTTAGATTTATTTGGATTAATAAGTAAATGATTTTTGTGGCACCGTGTAGTTTCGCTGCAATGTACAGCATTTAATTTATTAGTGACAATCTTAATAAAGTCTTGATAATCAAAGAAAGTGATAGTATCGTCGACATGTAAAATTCAGTAAGCCGTGCAATAATGTCAGGAAACGTAAAGTAATAAAGTCACAAACTCAGTAATCAGTCTTGATAAAGTATTTTAGTAGAAGAGAATGAGCCTACTGTGTATACTGTGTGCTTTCTGTTAAAGGAGTCGGGAAATGAAAACAGAGCTGCCCAGTTGTAATGTTCTCTGATTCAATAGGGATTAGGCGTGCCGATTCTAAAATATTTCAGCGCAGCATGTAGTTTATAGTTTTCTCTGGCTCCTAAATGACCATGCGATCCTATCGGCTGCTATAGGCACTAATATGTCACGTCAGTGAAACGTCATGGTAAGAGAAGTTTTAAGCCCCGCCGCGGAGGTCTAGTGGCTGAGGTACTCGGCTGCTGACCCGCAGGTCGCGGGATTGAGTCCCGACTGCGGCGCCTGCATTTCCTATGGAAGCAAAAATGGTGTAGGCCCGTGTGCTCAGATTTGGGCGCACGTTAAAGAACCCCAGGAGGTTGAAATTTCCGGAGCCCTCCATTACGGCGTCTCTGCCCCGCCGCGGTGGTCTAGTGGCTAAGGTACTCGGCTACTGACCCGCAGGTCGCGGGTTCGAATCCCGGCTGCGGCGGCTGCATTTCCGATGGAGGCGGAAATGTTGTAGGCCCGTGTGCTCAGATTTGGGTGCACGTTAAAGAACCCCAGGTGGTCGAAATTTCCGGAGCCCTCCACTACGGCGTCTCTCATAATCATATGGTGGTTTTGGGACATTAAACCCCACATATCAATCAATCAATTACGGCGTCTCTCATAATCGTATGGTGGTTGTAAGACGTTAAACACCACATATCAATCAATCAATCAATCAGAAAACTTATAAACAGAGCATTAGCTTTATTTTGCTCTAGAATAATAAAGAACTTAGGAAAGGAAAGAAAAAAACAACAGTAATATTTGTGCTCTGAGCTGTGTATACTACTGTGGAAGTACAGCGAGTGACCTGCTTGGTTCCACTTTCAAGTACATCCGGGCTCCGTCGTGTGTTCCTTCTCCCGTTAAGTGCAGCGTCCCAGCATTTTTCTTGCTGGTTGCGTTAGATTGTGTTTGACAGCATGGTTTATGCGGCCCAGTCCTCCCTATGCCTACAGTTTGCTTTGTCAGACAAGTGCTGCACAACTTATCCATGTGGAAACAGCCTTCGTAACAGCTTTACGACGCCGCAATCGAGACGGTATGATGCTTCTTGGTCAACTACGACTCAGCAAAGATAGCCGAATTGCCATGTTTTGTCGGCGAAAGAGGCTTTTCGTTGGCTCACTAAAGTGACATCAGCTGCATTTGAGGGGAACTTGAACAGTGAATCAAAATTGGGCTATTATAGCTATTAAATAACTCGGAAGATGAAACAAGTTGAGTTATATTGAAAGGACGGCCAAAATTCGAAGTACACGTAGCTGAAAGTTTTTAGGAAATGTTAGTGGAGCTTTTGGCGCGAAAGCCACATTTGCAAGACTTCAATATATTAAGTTTGTTGTCGTATTTGTTAAGCCAAACTACAAATAATTTTTCACTGACTCTAGTAAGGAGAGAAAGAATTCAGATGAGACACTAGTTGGAAACAAATAGCTTATCACCATTGTTACATGCTGGAAGGAGTGCAGCTATCTTCAAAGAAGTATGGAAAATGCCATTCTTAATCGCAAGGTTTATATAGTTATAGAAAGTGGTTCACAAATGACGTCAACTACAAGTTTTAATGGGAATGCTGAGGTTTTATCAGTACCAGGGCTGGTCTCTTTGAAACTTTTGATTGCTGTAGACATGTCATCAGGGCACATTACTACACTGTAGATTACAGAGTGCACTGCTGTATTCTTGACGGAACATCTCAAAGAAGTAGATACTTAAGGCATCTGCAGCATGTTCAGGGTTATCATCTGTAATGGCGTTATATGTCACTTTCCTAAAAAATATTGACGCACTGCCGGAATTCGCTGGTGCCACAAAGACGAGGAGGGAGAAGAGAGTGCAAGGAGAGGGCGGCTGTGGGGCTGACTGGCCTGTCCCTTGTGCTGGACAAAGCACCCTCTTGTAAATAAATTCATTGCATTGTTACAATATTAATGTGGTGGTTATTACTATTAACTATGGAGGCTGCAGTAGATGCCGTCTAAATTTGTGACATAGCGAGTTGCCTGCCATGGGAACTTTATGGTGATGTTGCCAGCTGCTTTTCTTTTTATTGCTTTAAGTAATGTGAAAGAGTAAATGGGAGCAAAATTGCTTTTCTTCATCGTGTCCCTTCAAGCATGTTCTTGTTTGGTTCAAGGTTTGCATGACAGTTAGCGGTAGCAGTTAAATATAACTCTTATGATTTTGCAGGATGACCCATTCAAGATGAAAACTGGAGGCATGATTGACATGAAAGCTCTCAAAGGGAAAAGGTAAGCTTCATTTTCATTGTGCAGGCCAAGTGTTTTTTTCATACAATAACCAATGCTAAGATTTTCTTGCACTTTTAATGCTTTATTGGTGTTAAATATGTATGTTTAATCTTGTCACTTGGAAGGCTCACAGGCTCACCCATAACTGAGAAACTGGTTTATAATATAATGTTTCCAAAATGTCTTTTTTTCCAGCATCAGCAGGGGCTTAACTGATTCTGACATGTGCCATTGTTTGAGCTGGGTTACCTATACAACACAGAAATGGAAGAAAGAAAGGGAACAGTTGCTGCGTTTCTGTCACTCAATTGGGTATTTTTGTGATTGTAATTCTAGAAGCGTTAGCCTGTGCCACTTCAGCAAATGTGGAACACTGTTCAGCATGGCACCAAATGTGGAACATTGTTCAAAGCAACTGGTTTAAGCCAGCTGGCTGCTCAACATTAAGCGCTCTCATGTTGTCTAAAGGCATTAATAGCGCAAGATGGGCCCTTACAAGATTGTAACCATAGCAATTTCGTTCTTTCTTGGCTGTCTTGGCAGCACTTGACCACTGCTGATTGTGCCGTCTGGACACAATGCTAGGCTCGCATTTCAGTTGTGTCTGAAAGGAATGTTAGCCGTAGCAACTGATTCTCTTGTCTTGATGATTGTGTAGCTATAGCATATGGCTTCTAAGAGGTCTTAGTTTTGGAAGGGACTGTCATATTACCTTGATCCGAAATGCAAATTTCAGTCTTGTATGCATTGTATCTATCAGTGGCTGCCAGCTTTTATCACCTATCTACAGGACTTACCTATATATCATGATAATGTTTTCCAAGACGTTAACCTTTGTAAAAAAAAATAATGCAAGAGCCAAGTCCACGACCACCCGACTATCACTATCGCTGGCCCAATTCGTATGCGGCACCCCGGGACACCTTGTGGGGTCTCGACGTGGCGAGCGCATCGCCACGCCACGCTTTTGGAGTGAACGGACACAGCAGACGCGGTCGGTACAAAGCACACAACATACATACATTTATTATCTAATTTAGACGACGATATCGTCCGCCGAATGATACACCAATTTCAATTAACACGCTACCATACAAACAACATAACGCAGTGACACACTAAACACACAATAACATGATAAACACACACTAACACACACAACACAATAACACATACCCAAGGCGGCGTCGCCAACGCCTGACTTTCCACGCGGGACCCCGGCGCGAAGCCCGCGGTGCCGAGCACCGGGGACCCGCGCTACAGACAACCGTTCGCGGCAGCCGCCATGCGCAGACGAGACTCGCTCAACCCTCGCCCACCACCAAGCCCTGCCTTCCGCCAGGGGCCACCGCCGGCGCTACCACTCTACCAACAGTGGTACTCAAAGCGAACAAAACGCCATCTATCGCCCGGCGTTGGTCACCACCGAAATAAAGCCTTGGGGCGAGACACGTGCGCCACGCGGCGCAGACAACTTTACAGGAGGGGAGGGGTGTCAGCACCCCCACATTCCCCCAACCTTAAATCAAACCATATCCGGAAATCAAAAATTAGCTACACAAGCTTTAACCAAAAAAAAATGATATCGCACGACCATAATGTCCTTGCACCACGACACCACCGCTGGTCGACACTGCTGCACTGTCCAGGCTAGACTTCACCTCAGTACCAGCCCCGCAACAGCAACGTTGCCGTCGGCGCGACGATCCGTCGCTAGCGCCGACACGTCTTCCAGTTGCGACCAGCACTCGCGAGGGCGCCGGACTGCAGGCAGTTGCGCAGGTCCCAGGCATCTCCATCGCCCGACCTCACGACCGCATTCGTGGCCAGCGACGCTGACGATGTGCAGGACAGCCGGCCGGGGATGACATCCCTCCCGCCGAATACATCAATAACAACAACAAAAAAAACTTGGAAGAAAACAATCGAGCAGGTCCTCGGGAAGGGAGCTTCGAGCTTTTCGTCCACGTGGTACGTGTGTCAGTACTGCTAGCTAATACATCGGTGGCGGCCGAGACGCCCATCAAAATAAAACAAGTCACTTTTCCTAACTCATGCTCACAAGAAAAAAAGTGAGGGAAGCAGAGCGCAACACCTCAACGCCGCGATCTACCTAGTTATGCCACGTGCGACAGGCGGCTGCGTAGAGCCTTAGGCCTAATAAGTCGCTCGGCAACAACCGGCATCCACCCAGCACCCAGCCTAGGCGCAGAAGAGGCAGCCGCGAGGAGACGTCCACTCTGTGAGGTGGCCCTATCGCTCGCCGCACACAGCAGCTTACCGAGCGATTGGCGTCCACCGCCCCGGGCGGTGTCACGACGCCTCGGCGTCGAGCCGCAATACCAGACAGCAACGACGCCCCGCTCCCTGAGCCCAAAGATATAGAAGAAGCTATTTACAGAAAATCGGACCACCCACGAGGCTTCCGTACTCACTCGCTTCGGGCCTGGCCTACAAACCACGTGCTCTAGGCCTTGCTCACCCCAGGATGCGGACCGCATGGCTCTCGTCCTAATTCGACAACGTTTTTAAAAACTAACAACAACAAAAAATAACAACACTTGCGAGCAAAAAAATAAATAGAAAGTCAACCTGCCGACAAATTCAAACACGTTACAAAACCAATCTCCTCGCTTCTCGACAAAGCACACCACCAAAGCTAGCAAAGAAGTCCCCCCTAGGCCTACTCTACTCCGGCTCTAACAAAATCCCTGTATTGAACCGCAAAAACTGTCGTCCGATACTCCAAGAGCTCCACGTTGGGAAGCCAGTGTGGGGTCTCAACGTGGCGAGCAAGCGCATCGCCACGCCACGCTCTTGGAGTGAACGGACACAGCAGACGCGTTCGATACAAAGCACACAACATACATACATTTATTATCTAATTTAGACGACGATATCGTCCGCCGAATCATACACCAATTTCAATTAACACGCTACCATACAAACAACATAACGCAGTGACACACTAAACACACAATAACATGATAAACACACACTAACACACACAACACAATAACACATACCCAAGGCGGCGTCGCCAACGCCTGACTTTCCACGCGGGACCCCGGTGCAAAGCCCGCGGTGCCGAGCACCGGGGACCCACGCTACAGACAACCGTTCGCGGCAGCCGCCACGCGCAGAAGAGACTCGCTCAACCCTCGCCCACCACCTAGGCCTGCCTTCCGCCAGGGGCCACCGCCGGTGCTACCACTCTACCAACAGTGGTACTCAAAGCGAACACAACGCCATCTATCGCCCGGCGGTGGTCACCACTGAAATAAAGCCTTGGGGCGAGAACGTGCGCCACGCGGCGCAGTCAACTTTACAGGGGGGGGAGGGGTGTCGGCACCTCCACAACCTAAAGGGGCATTGACGCTTCGTGAGAAACCTTATATCACAGGCAAGGCGGTATGTTTGGTGGAAACAGATGGAATACTAGACATTTTGTTTCAATTTCATGGAATTTATCTGGAGCATTCTGTTCTGCCTGGATGTAACTTTAGCGAAGCTAATCATTGTCTACCCAAAAACTGGACATACTAATGCTAGACACTTCATAGTGTGTTCCGTCTGCAAAGTTTAGCAAAGATAGAGTAAAGGAGGGACAAAAACAAGGACTTGCGAGCATCAGTGGTTCATATTCTTCTTCTGTGAGTTACTGTTTCAATATAAACTAGAAAAAGGCCTAGCACTGGTAGTGTGCACTCGGTTATATGCATGGGCTGAGGCTTATGAAGACGTGTAACTAATTGTGCTAGTTCAAACACACTCATGGCGCTCGGTGCACATCAGACAGGAAAAGAAAGTAAACGACACAAATACTTGTGTTGTGTACTTTGCCAAAGCATGTTTCCGGGCTAGTTGGTTAGGGTTCATCAATAATGTGGGTATAGCACACCACGACAAGGACACAGAAGAGAGACACACACACATAACGCTGTGTGTGTGTGTGTCTCTTCTGTGTCCTCGTTGCGGTGCGCTATACCCATACAAATTGTGTTTTGTTGTTGCTTGTGTTTCGTGTTTGGTGTGCACTGACCGCCATGCTTACTAAGGGGTCAGAGCATAGCCATAGCAACCACCCCTGTTTTGCAGGTTGGCCTAATTGTGGTGCTGCTGCTACAATAAGCAAGTCTTGGATTATTTGCTAGGCAGAGAAATCTTGCCACTTGTGAGCAAAGCTACTAGTGAACGGCAGCACTGTGCATTGCAATTTTGTCATGCCACTAACATGGGCACGACATGGTTGTCATGCTGTCGTATTTACCCAAGTCTAACACCCGATTTCCACAATGGGGAAAATCTCGGTTGTTGTGCAAATTTGATCTGTGTGACCCTAAAGGGTCGGTAAACAGACCCTGACTTTTTCTATTTTTATGCTCCCCAAACAATCTCTCCAATTCGTGCAGTAGACCGTGGTGATCACATTTACTGAATATTTTTCTAAATTTTAAACCAGCTGAAACGAATGTTCTATTCCCTGTAACTTCCTATTATAGCACGAATTAACAAAATTCTTGCTGCAGTGTGTTCACATAGCAAAAGTGCACATGTTTCTTTTCGTTACAATTTTAGAACTTTGGGGTTGTTTACTGGCCCTCTGAAGGACCCCTCACCAGGTTTGACAATTTTGAGCTGATGAGCGCAATGCATGCATTGGGTGTTGGTAATCACGTCTGCCAAAATTTTCAATGCTACGCGCGGCGGTAATGGGTCAGATTTCAAGATGAACGCTGCTTGCCCTTCCTTTCACGGCCGCGCTCTTAGAGAATGAGGACAGGGCCCAGACATAGGAATTGCCCTGCATAGACAGCAGTGCTGTGACATTGGTCCTCAATGTAGACGACTGTGCTCTGACGTTGCCAACAGTAGCATGCAACAGGGTGAAAATTATTTCACATGACATGTACAGTAGACTCGCGACAATTCACTCTGATAATTCATACATTTAGTTCATTTAAACAAATTTCAATTTTTTGGTTGGCCGTATTCTTTCA